GGGGGGGGGGGGGGGGGGGGTATTTATAGTTTTTCAAAGAGTTAAATTTGTAATTACAAAAAGTGTTAATTTTAAAAAAAAAAAAGGCCCAAAAAAGGGCTAATTAAGCAAATCAGCCGTTGGGCAACGGCTCCTTGGCAGGTGACCGTTGCCAATGGTAACCATCATTTAAAAAAAAAAAAAAAAAAAAGAAAAAGAAACTAGCCGTTAACCGGTCCGGGCCGGTTTAACCGGTTCTACAGTATTTCTGTTGATCGGGTTTGACCGGTTCGGTTAACCGGTTGAAAATAGGTGAACGGACCAACCCCCCTTACCCCTTTAACCCAGCCCCGCCCGACCCCCTTGTACCGTTCCGGACCGGTTCCGGTTTTAACCGGTCTGGGCCGGTCCGGTTACGGTTAAACCCGACCCGTTAGACACCCCTAGTTTATATCCAACAGACTCGGAGGCTCGGATTTCCTAGAATGTCATCATTCTGATAGTAACTTGAAAAATAAGAAAGAAGAGAAGGAACCCCGTTTCTTACACAGTCAAGCCTAAAGTTTTATTAGAGTGTCAAGTTGATTGGTTACCATTACTTGATAAGGAAACCTACATAATCGAAAAATGCATATTTTATACATAATTCAGTGTATATTTTTTTGAATATATATTTAGCTAGCAAATGTAAGTATTTTTGGCTAACCGGTCAAATGTGTAACTTGTCGTCCTACTTGATATCTCATTTGTTGATTCTTTGTTTGATCTCGTAATGGACTTGATATCTATCCTTCCTCCACATTGTCAGTGGAATCATCCTCTGTGTGTGTATAACGATTCTACCATCTTCCTCTTTTCCACTCAAGACATACTAAAGGTTTCTTGATAATAACATTCAGTGGCCACACACTGCTGGAGTTCTGTTAAACTACTCTTATCTATGGGTGCCACATTTAGACGCACATCTACACAAAATATCTCCCACTGCTCATAGTCCATTGGATAACCGTCAAGCTAGTAATCCACAATCGCTAATGCTCAAATTGACACAAGGATGTTTAATGTGGATGGAAGTCATATTTTGACCACTTAACATGTATATCCTTGCAAGAACATCTAAACATAGATTAATAGTACATATTAACAATGAACATAATGTGAGTACGTACAGTTTACTATGCAAATGCCAGTAATATACAACTTTTGATAGTATCCTAGCGTCAGGTTTATAAAAAGCATGAGGTATGTATATAGCCAAAATAAGAGATTATGAGAGAGATCCCACATTAAGTTTGAAGAGGGAGGCGTAGTGGCCATCTTCGTTACAGATAAGAGTTTCATGGTTTCCTTCTTCTATGATGGTTCCATTTTCCATGACACAAACTAAGTCTGCTCCCTTGATTGTTGATAATCTGTGCGCTACTATAATCGTAGTTTGATTTACCATGATTTGGTCTAATGCCATTTGGACAATCCTTTCAGATTCTGCATCAAGCGCACTAGTAGCTTCATCCAGTAACAATATTTTGGGATTTTTCACAATAGCTCGTGCAATGGCAACTCTTTGTTTCTGACCACCTGAAAGCTGAACACCTCGCTCCCCAACTATGGTATCGTACCCCTGATCCAAATCTCAATTTTGGGGTTTCAGAGACATCGAAATCAATTAAGAATATTGAATTAAGAACTAAAACAAGTATTGAGATCAATTAGGAGTACTAAATTTACGACGTGCATATGTCAGTAAAAATAATTTCATATTTTTCCAAGAATATTTCAAAATGTATCGACAATTTTAATACATTGATTTTAAATGTTTGGATTTCAATGTCCCCATTTAGGTTAAAAAGCCCTTAGTCTCTCTGTGTATGTTATTTATAAACACTTTGAAAAGGCAAAATTAACCATGTGTTGTATTGAACGTCATAATAGTTTTAATATACGTTAGTAGTAACCACCTTCCTAGGACTTGTATTAGGAGACTCGTACAAGTCAAAACATGGATAAAACCTAGCTAACTGAAAGATAACTCTTAAAACCTATCTATGACAATAATCTAATCTAAAGTATAAGCATAAACCTAATTCTAAAAGATACAATCTAGTAACAAGAAACTATTGTTCTAAAATTATTCACCATCTCAGTGTTTTTTCAAAACCAACCTCTCACATCTCAGTGTTTTTTCTCATACCAACTTTTCATTGTAGAGTATTTTCCAACATTATCTATAAAAAATAGAATATCAGTTAGCCTTTTCTTTTTCCCTGGGACCCCCCACCCAATAAAAAGGAACTTGGAGTTGTAAACTAGCTAGTAGTTACAACTTCAGATTTTGCTCCAGCTCTAAAGAAAATTAAAGAACACAAAGTAAGTCCTCCCTCACATATTGAATATTTTAAGATGCATAGGGAGAACATGAATTCTTTAATATTGCATATCCAGGTTAGCCTTTGCTCTATGGCTAATTAGATGAATGGCTTCCTAACCTGTTGTAAGCCACAAATGAACTTGTGGGCATTTGCCAATTTTGCTGCAGCTACTAGTTCTCCTTCAGTCGCATCTCCGTCCTTCCCGTACATGATGTTGGCTCGGATTGTGTCATTGAACAGAACTGGTTCTTGGCTCACAAGCCCCATTTGATGCCTCAGCCATTTCAAGTTGCAATGTTTAATGTCTATTCCATCTAGCATAATTCGACCCGAATTAAAATCATAATATCGTTGTAAGAGTGACATCACTGAAGACTTCCCGCAGCCACTTTCTCCGACTAAAGCAATTGTCTAGATGTATGCAGTAAACAAATGTAGATGTTAATAATTGAGAAATACACAATTTTGTCACGAGCGAGTAATAGGCTAAACTTTGTCTATTTCCTGTTGGTGTAGATCACCATTTTTGCATGTTCCTGATATGCAATGGTTTTATGTTCTGTGATAGCTAGTTGAAATAATAACTTACCCACATTTATAATTCAAGCTAAGATTTGAACATTGTTTAAACAAACCAAATCTGTGATTTGAAAATTTTGCGCTTTTACTCCCTCAAATATTGACAAATTCTTTATTTTGGGTCCTTGTGATATCTAATTAAGCACTTTTAACCTTCAATTAATTTAAATGTACACTTTTGATACCTCTCCTTGTGAATCTTTATAAATTTACCGAATTATTTAACCGTTATACTCCCATTTAATTACCCATGTATTATGCTAAGTTTTTATTGTTACTCCGTATATGGGGGATAAATATAGTTCTATAAATAATCTAAATATAACATGTTTCCTACATAAACGGACCAAAAACACACTTTTTGACTACTTGAACTGAATGTGCTTAGTCACTTACCACATGTACCAAAATTAGAATTTACCAATAATTGAGGGACCAGAAGTGCTATTATTCCTTTGTGATTTGTGTTGCTACAATCTGAATCCTAATAATCATACCAAACAAAATCATAGAGTAATAAATGACTAACTATTACTTGAGACATATACCTGCCCACTTAAAATTGTCAAGTTGAAGCCATGAAGAACTTTTATATTTGGCCTTGTTGGATATGCAAAGCATACTTCTTTAAACTCTATTACTCCTTTGCTTTGTTCTAAAGTGAAACCATCCTCGTTACTTGAGTCTATCTTCGACTTTCTGTCTAATATAGCAATTATTGAGGCGGCAGCACCCTTAGCTTTTTTTAGATCATTAAAAAAGAAGCTTGACTGAGAAATAACCATAGCTGTCAAATACACAGCAAGGAAAACCTGCGTGAAAACATGAGGGAGAGTTATTATCTAATACTGGGGAGATAACTTAATACTTAAAAACAAAAGGAATTTTACATATTTAAATAGTGAAATACTCATGTAACTACTTGATGGAGATTGGAGTTCCATCGCAATAGTCGCAAGTGATGTGAACTCCATAAAAAACGACCCCTCTTCTTTCTTTCCTCCCATTATTACGGTCCACTCCCCCAAAAATTTAAAAACAAAAAGGTAACACAAGATCTAAATGAAATTTGGCCTAGTCCTTTATCTTTTGTTTTTCCTTTTCCTATTTTTTTTTCAATTTTAGCCACTTTTTGGCAGCTCTCAAGAAGAAAAAGAAATTAGATTTGGAGGTTTCTTCCTAAATTTAAACGCTACTTCTGCATTTCGCCCTTTTTTATTTTTCCTTTGTCCCATATCAATGGTGATGTCCAAATATCCATGAAGGATTATACATGGGGTTCTATATATATTGATGGATGAAAAAGCACAAGAGAATTTCCATCAGAAATCATATTTCTAGATTCCAATTGAATAATTTATTAAAAATAGAAAAAACGCATTACACATGTAAAGTAAATGCTTACGCGGAAAGTATCAGAAGTTGCAATTTTCCCATCCTGTACAAGTCGAGCTCCAGCATAACCACTTGCAGCATATACAAAGAAAAGCAATGAAGATGTAATAGCATAACTAATCCCACTAATCAGCCCTTTTCCAGTCCCGGTCATTATTGGGCTTTCACTTTCCTTCTTATATAGCTCCACCACCTTCTCTTCTACACAAAAAGAAGCAACTGTTCTTATATTACCAACTGCGTCGTTGGCTACTTGACTTGCTTGTTCATACAACTTCTGCCAAAAAAAAATATATATTAACTAAATATTTTCCAGGAGGGAATTCTCATGTATAAATGTCTTTAAATGAACATCAATTAAGAGCTTTTCACTTTCTCTTGCACATTCAATTAACTTGCTGATCTTCGTTTCTCTTAAATTTCTCTATCTGATTTTTGACACTCCATCTGCCATTTTATCATTTTAACAGTTTCCTTAAGGTTTAACTAATGCCCAAGCTATCTGATCATAAGATGAGCATGGCTCAGCTAAAAGGGAAAAATAATGATTTTAATATTAACCAGCTATGCAAGGAAGACAAGTCAGAACCCAAAGCATGGTTTGTCTTGGCGTGTAATCGAGTTATGGATGTGCTGAAGGAAAGGTGGTCAGTAAGGAGATTCAGTCTATACACGTTCTCCACTTTCTAAGATAAAGCTTTTATTAGAAACTCGTTAGCTGAGATAATTTCTTGAGTAAACATGGGAACCTTCGTAGGAGAAGAAGAGTCTCCTTCTCCACGTTGATTGCTTGATTAAAAATTGGGAATCATGTGAAAGTGAAGGGTTAGACTCAGTGACGGAGGCAGGATCTACACGAAGGGGGTTCAAAAAATTTTTTTTGTAGCTAGTGGGAATTGAACCGATGACCATATGTAGATTTTGAACCCCCTTGACCACTAAACTACACTTTTGGATTGTCTTAAGGGTGTTCAACACTTAATATATAGAGGTAAAAAATAGATTTTGCCTTATATATACAGTGTAATTTTTCGGCGAAGGGTGTTCATCCCCCCCCCCCTAAATCCGCCCCTGGTTAGACTACTTGTGTCTCCAGTCCAATCTTTCAACTGAACAAATATATTAAAAAGGGAAAAGGGCCTAAATGCCCCTATTGTTTGATAAATAGTTTACTTCTAGCCTCCGTCCATCTATCAGTCCAAAAATACACATTCCGTCCATCTATTAGTCCAAATGTACATACTATTTATTAATTAAAATACCCCTACGTTTAACGGCAGACCAGCTGGACCTTCAAATTAATGTGTTGGCGTCTTTTTGGGCCACGTGACACTCTGGTCCAAAAAACAAATCTGAGTAAAACTAAAAAAGCTAGCATCAATTGTTTCAACATTTTCATTATCTGATGGGTTCAAATTCGGGTTTAGCTGAATTGGATAAAACCCAAATCTAAAAATCAATTCGGGAAAAGCAAAATCAGAGAATTCAATTCTTTATTTTGTTTATTTTACTTTTATGTTGATATATATAAACAAACAGTTGCATGGGGAATGGGTCAAAACAGGGATGTAGGATTTCATTGCTAAGGAACTAAATAAACACTTTGGTCATCATTTACAGGAGATTTGGGCTGATGTTGAAGGAAAATCCGAGGAATCCTCCGATGGGTTAACCATTTGGACTTGTAGAGAGAGAAAAAAGATTTTAAAGAGAGAAAGACACAATGTTTCAGAAATGGCAGATGAACGACATTTGATTGATTTTTTTAGACACAAAAATCACGCATCAATTTAGTCCATATGTCTACTTGTATAACTCAAAGCTCTTCAAGTATCAAAATAAATTTATAATTTCAGTGCTTTATGCCCTCATCTTTTGTACGACAATCTGTTCGCGAGGATCTTAGAAGTGGCGAAGAAGAAAAGGTGCCAGTGAGGAAAAGGGGTAGACCATAGAAGCCATGGAAGGATGAAACAGAGGAGGCAGAAGAAGCCGGAAAGGTTTTTTTTAAACCCGGATTGTAAAAAAATTAGGGCAGGTTCGGTTTATGGGACGGGTACTAAACCCATATGTGTTGTCTGACCCAAAATGCCACGTGGCCCAATAAAAATATGCCACCTCATTAAATAGAAGGCCCACAGGTTCTGTTGTTAGTCGCGGGGGTAATTTTTTAATAGAATTAACGTCGTATGTTTTTTTGGACGAATAGGTGGACGGAGGGCAACTGTAAACCATTTAGTAAATGATAGGGGTAGTTTTGACCCTTTTCCATATTAAAAAAATACCAGTTGGCAAAATTTTATATTTTGGCGGAAAAATATGACACCTAATGAAAGCAAAAAGAGATATACATAATAAGATAAGACAATGAGAAACTTACGGAAGGAGAGAAAGATAAATAAAGAGCTTATCAAGTTTTGATATCAAACCTTTGCGTCAGTACTAAATCCTTTGGCGAACTTTCTCTGAACATAAATATTGGCCATCATGAACGGTAGCATGGCTAAGATAATAAGAGACAATAACCAACTTGCTCGAAAAGCAATCACTATCCCTACAATTGCAGCTGCAAGATCTTTAGTTATTTTCGCCAATATGTCCCCCACTAGAACTCGAACAAGAGCTGCATCAGCAGAGAGCTTTGTGGCTATCCCTCCAATTGAGTTCTCTGGCTCATCGAACCAACCAATTTCCATGTGGACAACCTTTTGAAAGCACATCGATCTAATTCGTTGGATCAACTTACAACCAGCCACGGTAAAAAATAGTGTCTCTAATGGAGATGAAATCAGTAATATTGTTGCAATAACCACAATCATGAGTGCCCAAAATTGTGAATCTTTCTTTAGTTCATTTGGTGGCTCATAAAATGATTTAAGTATGTTGGATAATACTAACCCAAAAACGGGGAAAGCGGAACCGGAGATAGTGGCAACTACTGCTCCCACAAGAAGAATAGGAACCTCGGGCTTATTCAGATACGCAAGACGAGTAACAGGAGCTTTATCGAGCTTTTTAGATACTTTTAGATTAGTATCTGAATTTCTTAGCAATCTAGTCTCAGGAATTTCTTCAGTAGCTGTAGTATCATAATTATTTATGGATTCTGGTCCTGACACAGTAGAAAGATGTTGTGGATCATCGAGGCATATTTGCTCTTTTGCTTGATTTACTTCTTGGAAGTGAATAAGTCGCGAGTATGTTCCCTCAGGATCTTTCAGTAGCTCAAAGTGTTTGCCTGAGATATATAATGACATTTAGCATTCAGTCTCCAAAAATGTTAGAGAACATTGGGTAGGGTAGCTATATATGTTACACATGGAAAAAGATCTGTGCAATTTTTCTCAGGTGTAACAGATAAGTAGGAAATCTTTTTAAAAGCCTCAACTCATTCAGCAGTGCTTCAACCACTTAGTAATACAAAAATTAAGCAAGATAATATGCATTCAGAAATGGTCTTTGTGGCTTTCCCTTTTAGGAAAATTATGGATACACGTGAAAGTAAGTTTTGATTATTTGTTAACTGTAGAAGAAACCATACATATTTGTTTATACCTTCCTCAACAATTATGCCTTGATGAATGACAGCAATATTATCAGCATTCCTCACTGTACTGAGGCGATGTGCAACTATTATGGTTGTTCTATCAACCATAATTTTGTCAAGTGCTTCTTGTACAGCTCTCTCTGACTCAGCATCTAGAGCACTTGTTGCCTCGTCTAGAAGTAAAATGCGAGGGTCTTTCAGAATTGCCCTAGCTATAGCAATTCTTTGCTTTTGTCCACCAGAGAGTTGAGTTCCACGTTCACCAACCTTTGTCTCTATTCCCTACAAGCAAAATCATTCAATTCAACAAAATCCTTATACAGTCATTTTAATCAAGACAAACAAAGACATATTAAAAATATGAACCTGGGGTAGGCTGTTAATAAATTTGGTTGCGTTTGCTATCTCAATTGCTGCTTCAATTTCTTCTTTGGTAGCTCCATCTTTCCCATATGCAACATTTTCCTTGATGCTAGTTGAGAACAAAGTAGGTTCTTGACTTACTAGAGCAATTTTCTGTCTAATCCACTTAATTTGGAACTCTTTGAGATTAAGTCCATCTATAAAAATTTCACCTGATTGTGGATCATAGAATCTCTCAATTAAACTAATAACTGTGGACTTCCCGCTTCCGCTTTCACCAACCAAAGCAGCAGATTTTCCACTAGGGATTAATAATGAAAACCCGTTGAGTACTCTTTCTGTTGGTCTACTTGGATAGCTAAAACAAACATCTTTCATCGCTATATCTCCACGGATGTCATCCAAAATAATCCCATTATTGTTGTACGCATCAATCTCTGGATTTCTGTTTATAGTCTCAAACATCTTGAAAGCAGCAGCTTGCCCTGCTGTAAATGCAGCTAAGCAAGGAGATATCTCACCTATTGAACTGCAAAATAGTTTTTGCAATTTTGTAGATAATGATCACATTAGAGCTCTTAAACATGAAAGCATGTTCGAAGCTACTGAAGATTCATCAACAAAATACTCACGTTGAAGCAGATAATACAGCTAGAGTTACACTCAACACCGAACCTCCTGTATAACCTTTCTCCAAGATCATCTTTCCACCATACCAGAAAGCCAAAGCATAATTGCAGAAAAGAATAAAATTGGCTGATCCCACGCCTAAGCCACTTGCAAGTCCTTCATGTACACCAGATCTGTATGCCTTCTGTAAGGACTTATTGTACTCCTCGAGAGCCAGCTTTTCCCCTGTGAATGATGCAACCTATACAACATGCAGAGTGGATTTCATCCAAAAGTTATAGAAAGGATATGATCCCCGGCATTTTCCTCAATGAGATTCCAGAAAGTAATAACCCCAGAAAGAATCAATTTTCAGTATTCATGTAAGACTAGCACAATGTTTGTAAACTTTATTTAGATTGTGCGTAATATTTCGGAACATGTATTGCGTTCCAGATAGGTTTTTATCTCACGTCTTTCTTATTTCTCTCTTTATTTTATCTTGATTTTTATGTGTTTAAAATGTTCTAAATATTATATGCTACTTTCCGCAATAATTTTGGTCATTTGCTTGACGCTTTCTGTGTTCTACAACTCATCATGTTTAAATTAAATATAAGATGTTTCAGTTGGTTCCCTAGGAAAATGAACGAATCAAACAGAAGGAGAGGGGGGCTCTAAAGGAGGAAAAGCAAAGATAGGTAAGTTAAACCTAAAACTGCTAATTCATGTGGAAATTAGAAAACTAATAAAGCATTGAGTTAAAAAATTTAAATGACAGGAAAATAATTATGGACAATAAACACACATAAGCAGAGAGAGAATAAACATTAAGTTCTAAGGTTAAATTTAGTCTTACTGTTCTGATGGAACCAATTGTTTGCTCAACTACATTAGCTGCTTTAGAATAAGCTTTTTGTGAATGAGAAGCCTTTCTAGACATGAACAGGAACATGACACCAACAACTATTGCCAGTGGAATAATGGGTGAAACCATAACAAGTGCTAGAAGCCACCCCTTGATGAAGGCAATAACAAATCCTCCTATAAACATTGCCACACACCTTATGAACCTCCCCACCTGAGCATAAGCAAATGTTGAAAAGCAAGATATAAGAAAAAGAAAACAGAGAGAGTTGAGAGAGAATTTTATAATATAGGTCTAATTATATATGCAAAATTTAAGTTGCAATCACAAGACATTTCTTGTATAATTTCAACTGCACTATTTTTTGTCCAATACAGATCTTGGAATTTGTCAAACTTTTTTTCGTATGAACAAAAATGATCAGAGTATTTATGGTCGTACCTTCTCCCCCATAGCATCTTGTATGGTAAAAATGTCACCGGACATTTTCCCCATAACTTCCCCTGTATTTACTTCCTTATCGAAAAAAGCAACATCTTGTCGTAGAATACTTTTTAAGTACAACACCCTTAGTCTGGCAGCTTGTCTCTCCGCAGTCACCGTCCAACAAGCCACCTCTAGCAAGCAATTAGCACAATTTTTAGGAACTTTTGCATTTCAAATATATTACACCTTTCATGTAGCTTTGTTAGTTTGACTTACGAAAAAATGCTGCTACACCTGAAGCGATTGCCACGTATACAAGTTTTAATGACACCTGAAAAACAACCATTGTATTCAGAAATCATCTATTTGGACTGGGTTGATTCAGAAATCAAAGAACCAGACACATTTGAACTTGCTACAAGTTACTCCATATATGCTAGGAAATAGCAAAGGATAGGGACTAGCCAACTGGAATAATATCTATCGACCGCCTCAATTATCTTCTTCTCATAGAGATTAGATCAAGATCATACAATGCTGAAAACTTATGTCAAAAAGGTAGCACGCAGAGAGCCACAATCACATCATGCTAAACTGTGACAAAAGTAGCAATAACGATCTTGCCAAAAGTAAAAGGGGAGGAAAATAGGGGGATGCAAAATAAACTTTGAGCAAATTCTTTTATTACCCTCTCAGTATCTTATTAGTGAAGTAGATTCCCGATACTTAGTGATCCACAGTGCTCATGACTAATTGCATAATAAATATGCGATTGTTTCATCCGTCCATTACCAGGATGTTGTCGACCCGAAATATTTGATTGAATTTTGACCCTCCAAAAATGGATAAACACGGCGTATCCAGTCACGGCACCTACAGGATCCACTGGACAAACAGCTGGTGGACCTGCAAATGAAGGAACGGTGTCTGAGGAGATCGCTGCTTCCATTGAGGAGCAGAGCGCCGCCGCGCTCCTCCGTGTCCCACACACCACTCGCATGTCATCCGCCACCGTGATGATCCTCCAATTACACTTTTCTCGCTTTTATTTTTGTTTTCTATAGTGAAAATTGTGAAAGTAATCAGAGTACTTTTTTTTTGGGTAGAATTTGCATTGCTGAGAATTTACAAGTCTTCAACTTATAGGCATCCCGTCAGGAGAAAAATATTTTATAATTTGTATGTTATATATAAAAATTATATAAATTTTAGGAAAAGTTTATCAATTAACCATGCAACATAAAATCATTACCCGCCCCTCCCATCCCTTTTTTCCCTTACCAATTTTTTCTTTTCAATACCCAGTTAAATCTAGAAAGAATTACAAGAAAATGCACATGACTTCACACCATAATAAAAAATGGCTCATGTTTTTAAGTTTTACCCCACCTAGCTCACATTGTACATATTTTGAAAGCACTTGTAAATTCAAAATATATATTTTTATAACAATTGCTTCTAAAAGCTATGGAGTTAATTCTTTGTCTCACAACTATTGCTTTCACTCTCTCTTCTTCTCACATCTTTTACATATGCTTCAAAGGACCGTGTATTTTCTGCTTCTCCTTTTGTGTCACCTGCTTGCAATGAAAGAAAATTGAAGAGTAGAAGTCCATCATTGAAGATCATTCAAAGCTTTGCTTTTGAAAATGGGTTGTTTTGAATTTGCTAGTTGTTTGGATTGGGTATTGTTCCAATTGATTGAAAATATCAAAGGGAGTACAAAATTTAAATTTGAAGTGATTTGGAGTAGATTTGAACAAGATTTGAATTAAATTTCAGAAAAGACGCAAGAAATAAGACGAAGTCAGTTTTTTGTATAATTATGTATAATCTTGTATAATATTGTATATGAGTGTAGAAACACACCTTATACACTGTTATACACTTTTATACACGTTTATACAAGCGTCTGTAGACGAACTTCTTGCACGATTTTCAGTTGCAATTCTTATCAAAACCAGTCCAAATCTCCATTGAATGACTTCAAATTTTATATACAACCTCCTTATACTATTTCTAACAAGTCTAAATAACACATACTCCAAATTTTTCATAAAATCAAATTCAAAATTTAAACCCACATATTTAAGTTTGTTAAAAATCTAATTTTCACCACCCAAATGAAGTTGGTTTGTTGAATTAATATTTGAGTCACAATTACTGATTCGAAAAGTAATTTAAAAGCTTGAGGAATCTTTTTTAAAAACTAAATAGTAATTTTGAGAACCTATTGGAGTTGGATGTTGAATCTTAGCCAATTATTTATGGGCTAGTTGGTTGTAAATTGAAATATGGGCTATAAAATTGAAAAGTATGGAGCCCAGTTGTTCTAATGTGAAATTTTCCCTTAAATCTAACCAATGAAGTCAAACAAAGCTACTAAACTAAGCCAAGCAAAGTCAATTCAAACCAAGCCAAGCAAATCAAGTCCAGCTAAGCCAAGCAATTCAAGCCAAGACTTCCAAACCAAGCCAAGCCAAGCCAAACCAAGTCAAACTGAGCCAAATGAGTAATGGATGGTAGGTAAGGGTAATTAGTTTTAATTGGGTATGTATATATTGTAAATAGTTTTCAAATGGGTAGGAAAGGATAATTATTTTAAGTTTAATGGGCATTTTGTATAAATTGCTCTAACTTTTATACATTATTTCGGCTACTAAATGTAAATAGTTTTTGATACGGACTATAAGTAAATAACTTAGCTTATTGTAGACACAACTATGAACAGTTTTCCTTTCTTTGAAACTTTATGCTCAATTAAAGTACATAAAATAAAATAGAACAAAGAAAACGATACCGGTGAATAAAAAGATTTTTTCTTTTTATCAAAAGAAATATATTATGTATAGTAATTTGTTTTCGATGACTAGTAGTTGAAAATTACATAAATATACTTATAATTTATTACTTCATCCGTCTTAATTTTGTGACATTTTGCATTTTGTCAAAAGTTAGTTTAATTAATTATCGAAGCTAAATTGAATTAAATCAGCCCAATATTTTTAACATTTTAATTTAAATATCAGCAAAAAACTAGTTTTCTCATATTAAATCACCAAGGCATGTGAAGACAGAACTCATGATTTAGCAGAAAGAATATTTTGCATGAGGTGACGTTTACCAGAAAAATTTTGGTCTATGAAAACACTTTTTAATCAAAAGAAGATAAGATGAGTTCCCTCACGCAATAGTAATATTTTATGCTCAATGTTAGAAAAGTGTTGAAATATATTTAATGTTTAAACATAAGTTGTGTCTTTTATGAGAGGGTGTAAAGTCAAACTTTTGTAACTTCCCTTGTCAAATTAAAGACAATTAGTCTTGCATTTCGAGTGGTTGTAACGTTACATTTGGCCGGAAAACTTCTCCATTTTCACAATTGTTTTTAGCGGTGACAAAATGGTTGAGAGAAAACAGTTATCCATTCATATTATCTATTAAAAAATGTGTTGTATAATGAACTATTTAAAAACGGGTCAAATATGGATAAGAACCATATTATCCACTTAGAAAATGGATAACCAACGGATAACTATTGGGTTTAAATTTTACATTTGTAAAGTTTTATAAATTGGGGGTTGCTCAAGTTTGGGAGACTAGTAATTCTCCCAAAAGTGATCATATTTAAGACGTCATGTATAACATTGATATCCATATTATCCGCCGGTTAACTCGTTTTTTATCTGTATTAAATATGAGTCAGGTCGAATAATTTATCCGTTTTTGCATTACCTGTTTTCGACCCGCCAATATCCGACCCTACCGGCCCTTCCTAGACGAATTTCTTCACTATTTGCTTAGTGCAAAAATATAGTAAAAGGTTTATCATATCCACTAAAGTAATTAATTATTTGTATACAATCCATAGCATATGCAGGTTGTGATACGTACCTTGGAAACTGGTTGAAGCACGTCTGAAGTTTTGTTTAATCCAAAGGAGTCAATCAAATCTCCAAACAGTACAACCACAAGAACCTGACAAAGTCCATTCCCTGTAGCACCTGTTGTGCCAAAGAACATCAATATTTTATCACTAGTATCAGCAAATGAGAAGAGTTTGTAGAAAGCAATGGTGTTAATGCTTGTCTCTTTCTTTTCCTCTGCCTTATTAAGTATATCTTCTGATCTTCTCTCACTGTTGTTATCAGCCATATTCATCTGTATCTTCCTCCAACAAAGCTGAGATGTAATGTGGATTTGGAATGATAATTTGTTAAAGTAGAATGAAGCACGAAAGGGAAAAAATTATGCTTTGCACGACTCAGTTTTAAATTATTTTACTACAAAAACAAATAATTGAACAAGTGACACATAAGTTCTGCTTTCTCATATTATTGAACTGGTATGGAAGAAGTGTTAGAAAAATAATGGGATGAAATAATGTGGCAAGAATTTAAGCTTTCTACTTTGTTGCTGCAAGGAAAATAGCAGAATTCCTCCCGGATTTTACAAAGCCTCTAAAATACGAGTTTCAGCAATTAACTCGAATTTCCCAAAAAGTAAAATATTTATGAGTTATATAGGCAGAAGAGGAAGAGATGAAAATTTTCAGATATCTTTCGTTTTGGAGATGATATGGGTATTTATTAGGGGTGTTCAAACCGAATTGAAAAACCGCACCAAACCGAAAAGTCAAATCAAACCAATTAAAAAACCCGATTATGTTTGGTTTGATTTGGATTTGTATCGAGTAGAAAAAAAAATCGAACCAATCCGACATATAAATATATAATTTTTATATATTTTTAAGATTTTAAATAGAATCTTTTTAAGAAAATGTCTAGAAATATTTGGGATTCTCTCACGGGATGTAATATTTAATAGAACTATGAAGAGAGCATCCATATTTATTTACGTTAAATAATGAGTTGTATCATCACTTTCTTATCATGTGTTATTGAAATGCGTCAATCTATTTGTTCTTTCATATTCATTTTCATATGTCAAAATCTGTTAAATTCTTATACCTTTTTCGAATTTGAAATGGTAGTTCGATAATTTTAAAATTAAATAGAACATATCATTATTTAGGTTTCATATTGATTTTATGCTTAATTATTAAATTCGATTAACCTTGAAAGCGTACATCAACGATAATTATTGTTAGACAACTAAAAAATAATTATCATGTGTTACCAAAAAATATTCTCCCAAAAGAATATTTTAATACATCGTATATTATATTTTTCAGTTTTTTAATTTTTACTAAACATATATTCACTTATCAAAACTTTATCTATAACTTTAACAAAGTAAGATTGAAATAATACTCATGTAATAAATAAAACCCGAAAAAACAGACAGAACCGAACCAATCCAAACCGATATAGTTGATTTGATTTGATTTTGATCAAAATCGAACCAACCAAGTCCATGTACACCTCTAAGAGTTTGTTAGAATTAACAGACTCATCTCTTCATAACAGACATCTTTAAAACCAATAGTCACCTTTTTTGAATTTAAAAAAGAAAACTATTACAAAACGTTTTTAAAATTTCAGAAAATGATTTTAATTAATTAATAAAATAATAGGTGACTAAAATATTAATTTCAGGCTACTTAATTGGCCCAGAGTGCAAGTGCCCAATCTTGATTGCTACTAATAAAGTCAAATTCCAATTTTCCTCCAGAATATCCTTAAAAATATTCAAACTATATTAGACAAAGAAGTGCTATTAAACACTGCTTTTTTTCTCTCTTTTTCTAATAAGAGACAAAACAACCTCTTCTCAAATACTCCAAACAAACACTAACTAATCTAACAGGTATGAAAACTATGATTTTGCTGATCTGTAATGACATATCAAATACTAACTGAAAAGTCACATATAAGTTTTGCTTTGTTATATTATTTCTTTTTTTAATAGTTAATTAATTCAATGAATTTAATAATATCACATTGCTCTGCTTTTGTCATCTCATTTTTCTGTGATTGAACAAATGGAAAATACTAACGAGATTTTTGTTCCTTAGTGTCTTGTCTTTGCACCACTGAAATGAGCTCACTGAAGAACTCTAAGGGGTCGTTTGGTTGCCGGTTAGAGTTATGCAGGTATTAGTTATACATGTATTAGTTATGCAGGGATTAGTTATGCAGGGATAAGTAATGCAGGGATTAGTTATGCAGGTATTAGTTATGCAGAGATTATTTTTTTGAATGTTTGGTTTGTCGTATTAGAAATTGATCTACATTATATAAATTTTAAAGTAAAATGCTTGTTTACAACTATACCCCTGGCCTTCTTTTGCATTGTTTTTTCTCTCTTTCCATCTATGTAGGAAACAATTTAGTTAGGAACTTTGGGTGTTACTTTCACTTCTTCGTCATACTACTGAACTATGTGAAGTTTAGACATATTTGATTTTCACTTCTTAGTTTTGGTATTTCCATTTTCTAGTGGCTTCTCCAGTTTGCTTTTGCTAGTTTGTTCTTTAAAAATGAGAGAAGACAAGGTATATAGTTGGCAACTGAAAGCAAGTGAAACCTGTTGACGGGTTGGCAGAGAAATAAGGAAGCCTTATGTGTAAAGTGATAGGGGTAAATTTGTCATTTCAGTATTTTATCCATGTATTACTAATACATGTATTAGTTATTTCATCTTCTACCCCGCATAAAATAATACACAGATTGACTCATAACTTATACATGTATTATTTATGCATAATTGAAAAATGTCAACCAAACATGGTATTAGTTATGCAGAATTTTATACAAAATAACTATTGCCTACCAAACATGGTATAAGTTATGTTACCCCTTATACATGAATAACCTTTCTTCTAACCAGCTACCAAA